TCTTTCCACTCTATTACCCAAACCAATCCACAGATATGGTTCCCAATTCATCCAAACAGTTTAAAACGAGCCTCCAACTCATATCAATAACACTTCAACAATTTAATTTCAAATGAGACTACAACTCATATTATGATCATTTCAATACTTAAATTCATCTACGTTACGCAAACGCAATTAGGATTCCGGGACTTTCACCCTGGACACTCTGCCCAACTTAGTTATCACTAGAGTCCATCCCCTATCTTCTCCCAAATCCGGTTTAGGAGTCCATCCCCTATCTCTTCTCAAATCGTGGAGTATATCCCCTATCTTCTCCCAAAAAATATATATATACAATGTATTTAAACACTTATCATATACAATGATCAAGCAAAGCACATATTCAATGTGTTATTTCATCCGTCATATTCAATGACATAGTCATATGATTAGTTTTAATTCATCTAATCATCATGCAGTGTCTACAACAATCAAGACTATCTTCCATCGATAGCCCAAAATATTTATTTCTAAACAGATAACAAATTATCAAACAGATAAATTATCTACAATTTCAAAGGTGAGTGATTAATTAATCCAACTCCACCATTAAATCTCATAATTACTCAATTTCGTTATTTTCAACTTAATTTCATTTTTTCATAACTTTCCCGAATTAATTATACAAATTAATTCATCACAATAAATTAGGGCTTTTCTTCCCATTTTCTCAACATTGACCCAAAGGTCCAAATATCATCAATAAACATTAATACCCTCATTTTAGGACCCAAAATACACATGAATGGGTCAAATGAATAAAACCCCTCTTTATACATTTTGAAACCCTAACATCCAAAATTACCCAACTTCAACATTAAATCAAAAAGACCACATGTTTATGTCAAAGACCATAAATATGAATAGTCATCCCTACCTCAAATTTCGGAGCTCAAAGGAGAAGAAAGAGAAAACTCGAAGGTGCTCCAAACCCAAAGATTTTCAAATCAAAATGTAGCCCACACCAAGCTCCACACTTTTAACAAAGGAACTAAGGTAGGAGATCACTAAAGCTAGATGATTTTGTAGAGAGAAGATGTATTCTAGAGAGAGGAGCTCTCAAATGAGGGTTTTGAAAAGCTAGAGAGAGAGAGTGGATCGAAAAAGTGGTTCAAAAAGCTAAAACTCGGACTGATATAATACACAGTCCACTCGAGCGTAGGACGCCCCGCTCGAGCGTCAGACATAGACTCCCGCTTGAGCGTGAAAAGCGACGCTCGAGCGTCGAATGCATACTTCCAGAAGTTCTGCAGACGAGGAACCCGCTCGAACGTGAAAGTGGGCGCTCGAGCGTCCGATGACCTGCAGCGAAAAGTACTGAGGGTTGAATAATCATGCTCGAGCGTCAAAATTCCCACTCGAGCGGATGAACATAAGCAAAGGGCCCGTTCAAGCGTCAAAAGTCCCGCTCGAGCGTGAAGGCCAAAATCTGGACATCAACTCTTGGTTTCCAAACACAACTAACCTGTTTCAGACTTGCCCAACACAACCCAAGACTCAAATACAAAGAATAAAGGATGGGAACGAGAATAAGACAACAACATATCCGCGGAGCCGAATCCAGAATACAATTAAACAATAAAGGAAAAAACGGGATCGCTATAACGATAGCACCAATATTATCAAAATAAATAATTAAAATCATACGTTAATTATAAATTTAAATTATTTTTTATAACATACATTGTACCATCGAATATTTTTTGAAAAAAAAAAATAGTACATGTTTTGTAAGGGTCAATTGCTAGTCGTATTATAAAAGTATAATTATCAAATAATAATTTTGTATGATATATATTAAATTATAAAATAGTAAAATAAATACTCATTTTGATATTAAAAATAATTGTTAAATTAAGAAGAATTAGTAACATAAAATCAAAAGTAATTCTAACTATTTAATTTTCTTTTATATTCATTTGGAAAATAAAAATATGTAGAAATAGAAATTATATAAAATTTATTAAAAAAATTAAATATAAATATATTGTAGTTGGATTATCATATAATGATTTTACATGATATATGATATATACATATATATATATATATATATACATATATTAAATTATAAGATTGTAAAATAAACGTTCTTAATTAAAATATCAATTATATAAAAAAAAATTAACAACGACTAACCAAGAAAGAATCATATAACCACATCTAAACTTAAAAAGAAAAAAATAATGAAAATATCTAAATGATATGTACATCTTAGTGTGTGAAATGATTAATCATCTGTAATATGATGTTAAAATATAAAAAGAACTTATTATTCAACAATTGAAAAAGTACTCAAGTAGTAAATTCAAACTTTAGAGATTTCTCAATAGTATTCAACTTGTTTGGTTTTGGTTTCAAAAAAATACTTTTCAGAATATTCTACTCTTTTTTTTTTCTTTTTTTTTTTTTAAAATAATGTAGGAAAGTAAATGTTACACCCTTACAATGAGAGTGTTTGTTTGGACTTTTTTGAGTCAATTTATGGTTTCTGACATTTGAAAAGCTATTTTGGATTGTTTGATTAAACTTATTTCAAATATTTTCTGATTCTAAGAACTTATTTCAAGTCAAAAAAGCTGATTCTAAGAAGCTGTTCATCCCTTATTTCTGATTATCAACTTCTGCTGCGGACATGTTAATTTACGATTATACTCTTAGATTTTTTTATTTTTTATTTTTTTTAAAAATAAAAAAATCCAAATAGACTATAGAATATTATTACTATTTTTTATGAGAAATGTAGACAAGTAGTAAATAACAAAAATAAAAATTAATTAAAAAAATTACTTCACAGCTTATTTAACAAACACTACTCAGTAACTTAAATCTATAATTCAACAGCTACACTAAACAGATTAACAGCTTCTGATTAAAGTTATAATCTATAATCTGTTAAGCTATAATCTATAATCTGCTTTAACAGTTACACCAAACAGGGCCAATGTGTCAAAGTATGGAAAAAAAATACTCATTTTAATATATATATATATATATATATATATGATTAGAGGGTGTGTGCCAACTCGATGAGTGTGCTGTAAACTATAAATTTTAATCTTAAATTAAAAATGTATGCAGTGTGGTCCCGTTTGGTAGAGTTGTGGAAAATTGATTATAATTTATACCCTAACAGCTTATAGCTTATAACTGTGAACATAAGTTGGTTTTTGACTTAAAAATTAAGTTTCTCCTCCCTCACTCAAAGAATAAGTTGATTTTTGACTTACAAAAAATTATAAACTGTATTTTAAGCTGAACCAAACATATCAAAATAGCCTAAATTAAGCAAAAAGTAAAAATAAGCTGAAAATAAATTCTACCAAACAGGACTTGTGTATTGTTCAAGTGATAAGAATGTTATTTTCACTTTAATATCTTAGATTCAAGTCTTGTATGCTTTATTATATAATTTTTTTCTTTTGGATAGAGAAAAAAATTCACTGAGCGAAAGGTGAGAGTGGATTTCAAGACACCATTAAATGAGATATTGACTTTAAATGTAATATATAATAATAATGTAATATATACAATGCAAAGGGAATGGGGCTCTAACCACCATGCTCTAATCCAGTTTGTTTAATATAATGGCTGGGGAAGGGTAGTGCTTGCTTGCAGTATTGTTTGTTTATATAGAACTGATTCAGTGCTGCACCCATCTATGTGGAATGCCAAGTATGGTTTATCGGATTGTGAAGAGGAAAACAATAAAAAAAATTTCAACAAAAAAGAAAAAAGGGGGAGAGAGAATTGAAACGAACGGTAACTAATGTGCGATGAGGACATGCAACTATGTCCAATATTTGAATCATCAAAATTTAGAGATGAAATGAGAATTTTATTTTCATTTTAATGATACAATCTACGTATTTTTATAAGGTCTTTTAAAACTCTTTTGGAAAGAGTTAAAAAGTTAAAAGTTAACTTTTAATTTATTTTAAGTTATATTATTTTTTATATTTTTTAATATTTTTAAAAAAATTCAAAAAATAAAAATAAAAAAATTAATTTTTAATTATATTTTTAAAATAAACCTTAATGTACATCATTTATAAAAAGAATCAAATGGAATGCCAAGTTAATCATACAATATTCTTCTAGGTATTTATTTATTTGGTTCCTTGGGCTACACTCTAGAGCATGAGTGGTGAAAATAGTTAATTCAAACCCAAGGAGGAAGCTCAAGCAACATTTGGCATACTTGCCACCTGCAACCATTGACCTCAATTACTTCGAGATTGACAACTTTCTACTTAGTTTGAAAAAATAATTCGAGTTTCATTAAAATCATAAATAATTTTCTACTCCTCATCATTTCAAAAAGAGTGGTGATTCATCCCACTAATTTTTGGACCACTAATAGTTCTAATGAGCTTTTAAAAAAAAAAAAAAAAAAACTCAAGCCAAAACATCATATCACTTTGGTGGGGACCACTGTGCCACATCATTAGTGATGCTATAGAGCTTCCAATTTAGTGTTCTAAAACATTATTCTTTCGAAAATAGAATGAATATCTCAAATTACATTTCTTTTTAATAAATATAAAAGTATTCTAGCAAAATGTAAAATACAAACGGTTCTGCTAAATCACATTATCTTTAGAATTAGCCAGAGTATAATCCCTTCAATGAAATTAATTTCCTCAAGTGAGGAGATTGGTCCTCTCCTTCACAGCTGTCTGATTAAAAACCAATCATGTACGTCCATCACAATCATTATCATTATCATCATTGCCCTAAAAAAAAATGATTCGACCACTAATTTAACATCACTACGTAGACCTCACTATGATAATTTGACAATTTTTTCTTTTTTTCTTGCACTATCAACTCATAAAGTTGGGATTAGTGTTACAATTTTAGTGATCTGTATCACCACTGTACTAAAAACCATTGTTCAAAGCAGCTCACACGAGTTGAATTCGTTACACGTGCGACCATTCTTCACTGATTTCAGGCATCACTCCCACAAGACCCTCTCTCAGCATTTTCTCTCTCTCTCTCTCTCTCTCTCTCTCTCTCTCTCTTCTTCGTTTGAAGAGATATGTAGAGCATTGTTCGCTATCAAACTCAACTCTGATGAACTCGAACTAGCAGCTTCAAGCGATTCATGTGAGATCCACATCTCAGTTTGCTTCTGCTGAAGCTGAACTTTCCTTTGCACCAATCATTCAGTAAATCTAGTAAGTTTTTAGGGCTTGATTTTCAAATTCTTACTATTCCTTGATTTGAGCATTTAATTTATCATTTATTGTGCTTTACCTTCTATATATGTCTTCCCTGTTATTGACAAATAGTTATTCTTCAATATCTACTGATTTAAACTTCAGTTTGATTGATAAGAAAGCAGAGAAAACAATCTGTTTGTTTGGAGTTCTTAATAACACTTTTATATTTTTGTATTTTGTTGTATTCAATGAATTTTTAAAAAAATTTTGTACAAATTTTTTATTTTTAAGTGTGTCTAGATTATGTGGATCTAAAAAGTAAAAATATATATATATATATATATATTAAAATATTTAAAAAAAATCATAAAATATATATATATATATTGATAAAAATGTTTAAAAAATTCATTAAAACCAGAAAAATTAGGGAAAGCAAGGCAACAAATTAGAGAAACTGAGTTTTTTTTTTTTTTCAAGTATCACAGTTTGGTTTATGAGAAAGCAGAGAAAACACTCTGTTTGGTTTGCAATTCTCAAAAACAGTTTTATATTTTTTTATCTTGTTGTATTCAATGATTTTTTTTAAAAAAATTTCGTACAAATTTTATATTTTTAAGTGTATCTAGATTATATGGATCTAAAACGTAAAGAAAATTGATAAAAGTGTTTAAAAAATTCATTAAAACCTATGAAGCACAGATACTTCAAAAATGGTGACGTATCCGTATCGGATACTTATCGGATACCGATACTCCTCGGATACTCGCGGATACGTATCGGATACTTCTTAAAAGTGTCGGATACTTCTTAATTAATTTTTTATTAATTTTGAAGTATCGGATGCTTAATTTTGAAGTATCGGATACTCGAAGTTACATATTACTTATAATATTTTGTTTAGTTCTTTGATAAGAGGAATATAGTGAGAGTTAAAGTAATAGAATTTGTCAAATTGATGTATCCTTGTTGTCTCTCTCACTTCTCTCTCGCTTTCTCACTCTCTCACGTTTCTTCTCTCTGCTCTCGTTCTTTTTTTGATGTTGGCATGTAAGGATGATGTTTAATTTGCATTTGCTTTTGCTTTTAGTTTTGGATGTTTTATGAATATTTAAGCACTTTTAGGTTAAATAAGAATCCCTCTCTTTATTTATTAATTTACTTTAAGTTTTATTTTCATGCATATTACATTATTAAAATTATAATTTTTTTTTTTTTTTTTTTTTTTTACGAATGTATCCCCGCTGTACCCGTATCATACTTTTTCAAGTTTTGACATATCGCCATATCCATATCCCCATATCACCATATCCGTATCCGTATCCGTGCTTCCTAGGCTATCATTGATGACTTAAAAAAGTATATTTGCTAAAATTTTTATTTAAGAATGGTTTTTTGGCTTTAGTTAAGGTCTTGTGATATTCACTGATGAAGGGGAACAAGTTGAAACTATTGACCTTGAAGACTCTTAGTTTTATAGGAATCTTTCTTCTTTATCAAGTTGCCTTTTGCTTTAGGTTTTATTTTTATGCATACTGCATTATTAAAAATTGTTAAAATAATATTTTTTACGAATGTATCCCCTCTTTATCCGTATCCTAGTTTTTCAAATTTTGTCGTATCGCCGTATCCGTATCGTGTCGTATCCGTATCCCGTATCTGTATCCGTGCTTTCTAGATTAAAACCAAAAAAATTAGAGAAAGCAAGGCAACAAGTTAGAGAAACTGAGTTTTTTTCAAGTATCAGCTAGAAGTTTGAATTCTTGTGTTTTCTTAGTAACCAAACAGGGCATATTTTTTTGTTTTATAATAAAGGAAGTGGAAAAATTGAGGATATGTTGTTGTACCAAAACTTTTGCAGCGATCTATGGAAGTATTTGTTTGGGAAACACTTTAATATAATGCTAATCCAACAACAATTAGATTCAAGGCCCAAATGCTGCAAACTTAAAATGAGGCATTTTAATTTTTTTTAATATCGTTTTTTTTTTTTTTTGGGATCAACAACAAAAGCTTTATTGATAAAACAAAAAAGAAAAAGAGGATAAGGCATTCTCTTACAATAGGACAATGAGAATACAAACACAAAAATAACCCGTAACAAGCTAAACACGGGTAAAAGTCTACATAGCACACACTGCCACCCCGTCTCTAGCTAACAAAAAAAGTGGAACTCCCTTAAATAATGAGTTCACTGATGTCCAAAAAGAAGATAAGTGACAAACATGATCCCACAAACAGCCCACCTCCCGAAACTTCTCTTCAAACAACCTCTGATTTCGCTCCATCCATAAAACCCAAAAAATTGTGAAGACGGCACAAGACCATAGAATTTTGGCTCTCTTTGATCCTCCAAATGTGCGAAAATCAACTAGAAACATATGCGCACTCCCTTTTGGGGCAACCCGCGTAACATTTCCCAAAGAAAACAATCTATGCCATAAATTTAAAGCTATTGGACAATGCAAGAATAAATGATCCACGGACTCCCCGTTCTTACAACCCAAAATGCACCACTGAGGATTTAGAACACGATTAGGTCTCCTTTTCTGCAATGTATCATTTGTCAAAATGCCTCTATGAACCAAGGCCTACATGAACACCTTTACCTTTAAGGGAGCACAAGCGTTCCAAACTCTTTTGCAAAAGGGAAACTGCGGAGCTTGAGGATGACCAATGATGAAATTAAAAAAAGACTTACAAGAAAATATTCCGGACGAATGAAGAGCCCAAACCCTCTTATCCTCCAAAAGAGGAGATAAAGAAAAATGATCAATTCTGGATAATAAAGAAATCAACTGCGAAGCCTCCCTATCATTAAGATTTCTAGAAAAATCAAAATTCCAGGAGATTGGAGCCAAAAGTGAGTAAGCCATGGAAGCAATTGAAGAATTATGGGAACGAGCCACTCGATATAGATGCGGGAAATCGGCAGCAAAAGAAGATTGATCCATCCAAACATCCTCCCAAAACCGAACAATTTCCCCATTGCCCACCCTTACAGAAACATGTCGGGACCAACATGTGAAAATTTGAGAAATTGACTTCCAAGGAGCACGACAGCTACCCCTCAACCCCACTCGTGAATCCCCACCATTGTCTTGAATCCCATATTTGCTTTTTATAACCGAATGCCATAGTGAATTAATCTCAAGTAGAAATCTCCATAACCACTTGCCAAGAAGGGTCAAGTTCCTAGCCACAATATTACCTATAGCCAAACCCCCCTTCTCCTTAGGTAACGACATCATCTCCCAATTTTCTATTGACCTTGCCACCTTAACCGGAACCTTAAACAGAGATAAATAATAAATAGGAATTCCACTCAAAACAGTCTTAACCAAAATGTATCTCCCCCTTCGTGATAATAAAGCCTTACTCCATCCTTCCAATCTCTTGCCAATCTTTTCTACCATCGGAGACGAAAAAATTTCACTCCTAGGATTACCCCCCAATGGAAGACCTAAATACTTAAACGGAAGTGCCTCTATACCACATCCTAAAAGAGACGCCCTATTCTGAAGTTGATCTTACTGCATATTAATTCCCACCACGCTACTTTTTCCTAAATTAATCTTGAGCCCCGAAAGCAGCCCAAAAATCCTCAAAACCGAATAAAGATTAACTAGCTGATTTTCATCCCCTGAAGAAAAAAATATAGTATCATCCGCATATTGTAAATGAGTTACACTAACTCTATCCCTCCCCACCTCCAATCCCTCAAAAAGACCTGTTTCTTTAGCTCTATCGACCATCCTGCCCAATACATCAGCCACCAAGATAAAAAGAAAGGGCGAGAGTGGGTCCCCTTGTCGAAGCCCCCGCGAAACCCTAAAGCATTCCCCTTGTTTATCATTAACTATGACTGACATATTGCAAGTTGACAAACAACCCCTAATCCAAGATCTCCACCGTTCACCATATCCTTTCTTGTCCATTACAAAATTCAAAAACTGCCAATCCACATGGTCATATGCCTTTTCAAAATCTATCTTAAAAATAAGACCCACACTCCCTGAACTCCTATAATCCTCCACAACTTCATTTGCCACTAAGGCAACATCTAAATTTTGTCTTCTTTTTACAAAAGCCCCCTGCGCTCTAGACACAGTATCCCCTAAAGACACCCTTAGTCGTTTTAATTTTTTTTAATATTGTTGTGGAATGTTTTATTTAAAATTATTTTTTCCAGTTTTTTAGGATGTAAAATTACTAATTAAATGTTTATACTCAAGTTTTGCTAACAAATCCCTTTGCAATTGATAGTATAGCTAATCCATTTCTAATTTGGTTGATCTTAAGTAAGATTTTTATGTCCAAATGATTTTAATTTTGTGGAATTAAATAGGAAGCTAAAAACATCTTTGTACATTTGAAATTGTTCATAGATGGAAAATAAATGAAATAGTAGGGGCCTTCAAGGTCTTTTTTATCCATAGCTTTTTTATTGGGGCATGAATCTCTCCATGATGTGTAATGTAGATTCTGTTTTTATTTTTTGTTTTTGTTGTTGTGGCACAAGTTGACTCCTTTTGACTTTTAAGGAACTTCGATGTTTTTGGGCTTTGTTTATTAAGTTGTAGTGCCTTCTTTAGCCACACACAAAAATAAGATATAAATTTTACGGGCCTAAACTATTCCTGTAAAAGATTGGCGGCCTTCCCAAATTAGGGGCCTAAAAGAAAAGGTATTGTTGGCTTTATATAAAACCGGCCTTGATTAGAGTTTAATGACTGATTTTGACTAGTGCATAATGTAGAAACAGTGACAAATGAATTATTTGTTTTATCCTGTAGTTGAAGTGACTAATGGAAGAAGGTGATAACAGAGGAGATTTGCTAGGAAATGTAGTGAGACCATCGTCATTGAGGACAAGCGGCAACTTGAAGATCACTTTGTCAGGAAAATCGACTCCCAGGGGTTCTCCTCCTTTTCGAAGATTGAACTCTAGCCGGACTCCTCGAAGAGAAGGCAGAAGTAGTGGAAGTAGCGCTCAGTGGTTTCGGAGTAACCGTTTAGTGCTTTGGTTGTTGTTAATCACTCTTTGGGCTTATGCTGGATTCTACGTGCAGTCCAGGTGGGCACATGGGGAGAGGAAGGAAGGTTTTTTTGGCCGTGGAAGCAAACCAAATGATGGAAATTCTGACTCTGAAGAGATTCACAGTCGGGGCATGATTGCAAATGACACCTCTTTGGAAGTTAAAACTGGAAATGATAAAAACCAGTCCACTTCGAAGAATATAGATGTGGTTTTAGCAAAAAAGGAGAATGTTGTTCCATCTCGTAGAATTGTAAAGAAGAAGAGTAAGAGATCAGGACGTGGTTCACGTAGTAAGACACATGGCAAGCAGAAAGCAACAGCAGATGTCAAGGCCACTGAGATTGAGGAGCAAGAACCGGAAATCCCTAAGCGAAATACTTCTTATGGATTGCTTGTTGGTCCGTTTGGCTCAACAGAGGATAGAATTTTGGAATGGAGTCCTGAGAAGCGATCAGGATCCTGTGACAGGAGGGCAGAGTTTGCACGACGTGTTTGGTCGAGGAAGTTTTTGTTGATATTCCATGAGCTTTCGATGACTGGAGCTCCACTTTCGATGATGGAGTTGGCAACAGAGCTTTTGAGCTGTGGGGCCACAGTTTCTGCTGTAGTTGTCAGCAAAAAGGGTGGATTGATGCCAGAGCTTGTTAGGAGAAGGATCAAGATACTTGATGATAGATCAAATCTCAGCTTCAAAACTGCGATGAAGGCAGATCTTGTCATTGCAGGATCAGCAGTCTGTTCATCATGGATCGGTGAGAGCTTTTTCCAACAGTATGCTAATAGTGTTCATTAGAGTTAAAGGTGATTAAATTATTCTTCAATGTTAACTTGTTTGCTTCTTACGGCTTCCATTCCCTGAACAAACTGCATGACCTGAGTTATTATGAAAACCTAAGCAACACGGACACGGACACGGACACGGACATGTACACGTACACGTACACACAACATGACATGACACCGACATGTTGATTTTCAAAAAAATACAAGGCATGACACGCTTGGAACGTTAAAATTTTATATTTTTACAAATTTATTACATGTCCTGTTATATATATGAATAATTTATTCAAACATACTAAAAATTAGGTAACATAACACATCTTTTACATTAAAAAGTGTAACTTAAACAGCAAGATATCAAAATTTTTTTTTTTTTTTGAACAACAACAAATGACTTTATTGAAACAAAAGGTGAAAACAAATGGAGGACAAGAAGTTCTCGTACAAAGTCAAGAAATCAAAGCTAAAAACCGAAGAAACGAAAACTAAAACATAAACATAAAACAATCAACCACTAAGTATGGCAAACAGCGGCCTAATCCCTAGAAATCAAAAACAGGGTATGTCCTTGAAAGGGGGAGACACACAAGCCTAAACTAATGCCAGATGTCTCGCCCTTTCCCACAAAAGTTCCTTCTCCTGCTTCTTTCTCATTAAAAATCTTATCATTTCTTTCCAACCAAATGATCCAGAAAATAGCAAAAACAATGCAAGACCACAATGTTTTGGCTTTCCTACTGCTTCCAAACCCGCTGTAGAAAACTATCAGCATATGCGTACACTCCCGCGGAGCAACCCACTGTACATCACAAAGACCAAAGAGTCGCTTCCATAATGCAAAACAATAACATAAATAACCCATTGTATTGTGAGAATATATCTTGTATATATTGTATATTAGGAATTAGGCAATTTCCTTTTCTTTGTATTTTCTTTTTCTGTCATAGATTAGGGCTATATAATTGATGCACTCTTTGTAAACCAAACACACAATTTAATATACAGAAATTCTTCAGAAACTTACATGGTATCAGAGCTGTTCTCTGATCCGAAACCCTAGAGCCGTCTCCATTGCTCCCTTGTTCGTGATTATGCCTTGTCTTAGTCAACCCATCTGGATTTCTTCTCTGTTTGTGCTATTTGGTAGTCACACCCATCCAACGGTTCGACCCATCTAGTCATCGGCTCCTCACAGCTCGTTTTCTCTCTCTGGCTCTCCTTCGTGGTCAACCCATCTGGTTTCTAGCTCTGAAAACCCTAACAGAAGTCATAATCGTTGTGCGACCCGAGATTTCACATCTCTGTCTTCTTCATCGCGACTGTCACGATCTAATTCTGACCATCATCAGACTCGCGATTTTTGTTTCTGGTTCGCGATTGCTACTGTACTCTGTCTTAGACAAGTCGCGAACCACCTCTGGCCCTCATCTTTGGGTTTGCTCTCTAGTTCAACTTTGGATCTGGTTCTCAGCTTTTGTGGTGTGCTTGCTAAGTATTCTTGGTTTGCTGGTTGTTTCATTCTGACTCCGAGATTTTCTGGTATTTACAATATGACCCTTCTGAGTTCTCATCATGTCTGAAGACAAAAGTCATGCCATTAGTTGTCGTCTAACTGGTTCCCAATTACACATATTGGGCCAGTGTTATGAAAATTTTTCTCGTCGGCCGTAAAAAGTGGAGTTATGTTTCTGGTTCAGTCCCTTGTCCATCTGAATCCAAGAAATTGGGATATGAGGCTGCATGTGATGCTTGGGATTCTAATAATGCCCAGATTCTGACTTGGTTCCATAATTCTGTGGAAGATCGCATTGGCATGATGTTATATTCCACGGCAAAGGAGGTGTGGGCGTATTTACTCAGTGTCTATCAACAGTCCAACTTTGCCAAACGCTATGAGTTGGAGTTCGCTATTTAGAATGCTCGTCAGAGGGATAAATCTATTCAGGATTTTTATGTTGAGATGACGGGTCTCTAGGATCAACTTGCTCTTATGGAACCTCCTCGTCTTACAGCTCTCGATGCTTATGTGCAATTTAGGGAGGAGGGTCGTTTGGTGCAATTCTTAACGGCTCTCTCTCCTCAGTACGAGGCTATCCGTGGTGGCATCCTTCACTGTTCTCCTCTTCCTTCTGTGGATGCTATTGTTCGTGAGCTTCTTTCCGAAGAAACCCGTCTCAAGATGGCCAGTCAGACCGTGTCTCCTTCAGTCTTCTTAGCACAGCCACCCCTATTGGCAACTCCATCTGCTTCTCAGCCTCAATCTTCTGCCAAGCCCAAAAAGGGGCCCTTAGGATCAGATGAGTGTGCTTTCTGCTATCAAAAGGGTCATTGGAAGTACAACTGTCCCAAGAAGAGCCGTCAGTCTGCTCAGCCGTCTCAGCCACAATTCCGAGGTCCTACTCCGAGTACTTTTCGCCCTCCTGCTGCTTATACTGCATCTACTCCGGCTTCTGATCCTGACTTGGCTTTCTTAAGTGCCCAGATTGCCCAGCTTCAGCATCTCTGGTCTACCTCTCAATCATCTTCCTCTGCTCTCACCTCTCTTCATTTAGGTTTGCTTGGGTCCTCTTCAGGTATTCCTCTTCTATCTAGCTTTTTGATTCTGGTGCCTCTCATCATATGACTTCCCACCTTTCTTTACTCCAAAACTGTATTCCTCCTCCCGTTCCTATTACTATTAATACTGCTAATGGGTTTGGTATATTTGTCCCATCTACTGGGCCTGTTTTACCCTCTGCCTTGTCTGCTGTTACTATTCCCTCTGTTCTTTATGTTCCTCAACTGTCTGTTAGCTTGCTTTCTATTAGTCAGCTTGATGCTTCTAGTTTTGATGTTATCTTTTCTTCTTCTGTCTGTTGTGTGCAGGATCGGGTGTCCAAGAAGCAGATTGGGACCGGTCGTAGAGTTAGAGATCTTTATGTGGTGGAAAGCCTACATCTTCCTCTATCTACCTCCCCATTGCCCTTTCATCTTTTCAGTTAGATTTTCAGTTGAGTCAGTTTTATTTATGGCATTCTCGTTTAGGTCATTTGTCTGTTGATCGCTTGCGGTCTTTAGCTCAGTCAGGATTATTAGGTAAAGTTTCTCCTAGTCAAATTAATGAGTGTCGAGGATGTAAACTTGCTAAAATGACAGCATTACCTTTTAATAACAGTACTTCTATTTCTGCTTTCCCTTTTTCTCTTGTCCATACTGATGTCTGGGGCCCTTCTCCTGTTCTCACTAAAGGGGGTTCTGCGTACTATGTATCATTTGTTGATGATTGTACCCGCTATACATGGGTTTATCTTATGGCTCATAAATCTGACTTCTACCAGATATATTGTACCTTTCAATCTATGATCACTACACAGTTTGGGGCTACAATTAAAATACTTCGATCTGACTTGGGTGGGAAATATTTTAAAACTGAATTCTGTGAGTATTTAGCAAAATTGGGCACCATTCACCAAACCTCTTGTGCTGATACTCCTGCCCAAAATGGTCGTGTTGAGCGTAAACATCGTCATCTCCTTGAGACAGCTCGATCACTCCTCTCTGCCTTTGTTCCGGCACCATTTTGGGGTGAGGTAGTTCTTACCGCTGCTTTCCTCCTTAATCGTATGTCGACTCCCCTACTCTCTGGTCAATGCCCTTATAAGGCTCTGTATTCCCAACCTCCCAATTATTCCCTCCTTCACCGTAAGGATCGAACCAAACTTAGTGTCCGGTCTGTCTTGTGTGTCTTTTTGGGTTACAGTCTTACTTAGAAAGGCTACCGCTGTTACGACCCTGACTCTCGTCACCTCTATGTCTCCCGTCATGTTGCCTTTCTCGAACGTCTGTCTTACTTTCAGCTTCCCCCTCTCACTGCTCCCGTTTCCAAAGAGGATTTGGTTCACATTGACCCATTTCTTTCTGAGGTCCCATCAGATGAGTATATCACCACTGTTCCTCCTAAAGTCATTCCTACTTCTCCGTCTATGTCACCTATGGCTCCTTCTTCTCCTTCGGCTGTTTCTTTCCCTTCGTTGTTGGTCTATTCTCGTCGCAAGGCTCACCTACCACCAGTTGTCTCTCCACCACCAGTTGTCTCTCCATCACCAGTTGTCTCTACTCCTGTTGCTGCTCCTTCTGCTTCTAACAACTCTGATCCTGCTGCACACCGCTATCCTCTTCGTGAGCGTCATCCTCCAAACAGGTTGGGTTGGTCTAATACATGTTTTTCTGCTTCCTATCGTACTTTTTTGACTGCTATTCACTCTTTTTCAGAACCCCAGTCTTACAAGGAGGCTTGTCAGGATCCTAATTGGGTTCAAGCTATGGAGGATGAGTTGTTTGCCTTACAGAAGACTAACACTTGGGAGTTGGTTCCTTTGCCTGCTGGCAAGAATCTGGTTGGTTGCAAATGGATCTATAAAGTCGAGACTCATTCTGATGGTTCTCTCGAGTGCTACAAAACTCGCTTGGTTGCTAAGGGTTTCTCACGGGAGTATGGTATTGATTATAAGGAGACCTTTGCCCCTATTGCCAAGATGACTATTGTTCGTATCTTGATTTCTGTTGCTGCTGTTCGACATTGGCCTCTCTATCAGATGGATGTTAAGAATGCTTTTTTTAACGGGTATCTCATTGAAGAGGTCTACATGCGTCCTCCCCCTGGTCTTCTCTACTCTTCTGGGAAGGTTTGTCGTCTTCGGTGTGCTCTGTATGGTTTGATGCAGTCTCCTCGTGCTTGGTATGATCGCTTTCAGACTGCCATTACCGAGCTTGGATTTCATTTTTCTGCTTTGTTTCTCAGATATACCTCGGCTGGTTTTGTTGCTCTCTTACTTTATGTGGATGATATGATCACTGGTTCTGACTTTTCTGCTATCTCTGAGGTCAAGCAACATCTCTTCCGCACCTTCGAAATGAACGATCTGGGTCCATTACGGTATTTTCTTGGTATTGAGGTTGCCTCTTCTCGAAAAGGCTATTTTTTGTCTCAGGCCAAGTATGCTAATGAGGTTATTCACCGTGCCGGTCTTACTGATACTAAGGTTTTTGATACACCTATTGAGCTTAATGTGAAGCTCAACTCTACTAATGGTGTCCCTCTGGATGATCCCACGGTCAATCGCGAGCTGATGGGTTGTTTAGTTTATTTGACTGTCACTCGTCCTGATCTTGCTTATGCTGTTCATGTGGTTAGTTAGTTCGTTTCTGCTTCTCGCTCTACTCATTGGGCTGCTTTGGTTCGTATTCTTCGCTATCTCCGGGGTACCATCTTTCAGGGCTTGCTATTGTCATCTACTTTCTCTTTAGACTTGGTGGCCTATGCTGATTCTGATTGGGCTGGTGATGTTACTGATCGCAAGTCCACCTCTGGTTTCTGTATGTTTCTTGGCGATTCCTTGATCTCTTGGAAAAGCAAGAAACAAACTGTTGTTACTCGCTCTATTGCCGAAGCTGAGTACCGTGCTATGGCTCATGCTACTGCTGAGCTTGTTTGGCTTCGTTGTCTTCTCTCTGATTTAGGTGTACCTTAGTCATCTCCGACCTCCCTCTATTGTGACAACCGCAGTGCTATTCAGGCTGCTCACAATACTGTCTTTCATGAACGGACGAAACACATTGAGATTGATTGTCACTTTGTCCGACAACATCTTCACTCTGGCTCTATCTCACTTTCTTTTGTCTCCTCAGCTTTGCAACTTGCGGACTTCTTCACTAAGACTCACCCTACCGCTCGGTTTCAGTTTCTTCTTAGCAAACTCTTAGTGTTTTCTGGTAAAACACCTTGAGTTTGAGTAGGGGTGTAAGAATATATATTGTATATATTGTATATTAGGAATTAGGCAATTTCCTTTTCTTTGTATTTCCTTTTTCTGTCATAGATTAGGGTTATATAATTGATGCACTCTTTGTAAACCAAACACACAATTTAATATATAGAAATTCTTCAGAAACCTACATGTATATCACAACAACATTCTAAATAATGCCAAACAGTTATAGAACATTGTATTACATATAACGTATTCGTCTTACAAAAAATATCAAAACATATTTAGAATGCATAAGTTGTGTTTTGAAGAATGAAGGGGTAGGGTTCATCATAAAGGATTTATTTAGAGAGTTTAGAAAGTGTCGTCAAAGTGTCTACGAAATGACGCTAAAGTGTCCGATATTATGAATTTGTTTTTTTCATTAAGACATGTTGAAGAAGTGTCGGACATGCCGTTAGGAGTGTCCAAAGAGTTTCGTGCCAGACGTGACATGCTTCCTCCGTAGAAATGTTCGTGCTTCTTAGATGAAAACTATATATGTGTCATAGTCTCAGATGAGAATTATATCTATGTAAATTTTGTTGAATGAGTCGTATGATGGGAAGCAGCTTGTGGGGTAATTGATCAATCTCGGGTGTGAAAATTATCCAGTTAAGTTCGCCATGGCCCCCTACTCCCTAGAGTATACACGGTGAATTAATGTAACAAAAAACTATGTGGCTATTGCTGGGTTAAATTTAGTGATTAAAGGTCTGCTTATGCATTTGGCTGCCTCAAGTCAGAACCAGAAAAATCTTTGAGTTTGCTGGTTGATCATCAAATGTAAGATGTGCATTCATACATAAAGGTTCCCTAGTGTCCCAGATGTAAAGGCAATGGAGCATGGATACTTCTAGAAGGGAGTCGTATCCGTATCTAACCAATATTTGATAGTTGAAATTAATTTTCCTTAATTTTGATAATTATCGGTTACAGGTCATGTATCCGAACTATTATAGAATTGATATTATAATAATTTTTCATAATTTTTAAGATAGAAAAAGGAATAGTTTTGCAAATGCAAAATGTTTGAGATCCCAAAAAGAGCTCCCTTAATTTGACCGACAATGATTTAGCATGTCTCAACTTTTGATTTGTCACACTCAATTATATAGGCCCCACTACTACCTTCTTCAAAATTTATTGAATTGATGTATCATTAATTTGTCACATACGTGTTTTGTGTCCCATATCTATATCCATACTTTTTAGAAAATAGGGATAAATAAGAAAATATAATGATATATTAAAATCGGTTTTTAACAATTAAACAAGAAAGTAAATTTGCATACAATACCTTTGTATATCACTTTTTAAATGTGAAAGGAAAAAACACGATGCCAATATGTTTTGGTTTGATATCGAAAATGAAATTTTATAGGATCCACTACCCCAAAAAAAAAAAGACAGAAAGAAAGAAAAGAAAAGAAAAATGAAAAAGTCAACTGACTACTAGCTCTTAAATTAATACCAAATTCCTAAAATTGTTCTCACTTTTTGAGTTTTCTGAATATCACAATAAAAAAATTATACTCTCTTCTTATTTTTTATTTTTTATGAACGTTTCTTGGCCATGCTCGTATATTACTTTTTAAGGTTTTGTTGTATCACCATATCCTAATCCTATATCTGTATCCATGCTTCAGAGTGTAATAGTTATTCCTTTTACCACAAAGTGAAACAAACTTTATGCGAAAGCAAAAACTAAGGCTTTGATAATCATTTCAACTTTTGCATCAATTTACTAAATTCAATACTAATAATTTAAAAGATCAAAATGAATATTTTGCTACCCCCTCGCCTTTTAGGCTAGTGTATTTAACTTGTCATCATTAATGAATGGCTCAGTATCTGGCTTTTGGTGACTAAGTTTTGACAATACATATTTTTGCTTTGTGTGGTTCTGTCCTGGCATAGTTCTTATCGTGCCTTATTTGGGGGATAGTTTTCTTAACTCCATCAAATTTTAGTCATAGACACCAGAAATGACTTTGGAATAGAATTTTTTTTTTTTTTGTAATTTTTATATTTGATAAATACTGTGTGTGTGTGTGTGTATTTATTTGTGTTTTTATGACTTTATACTTGATGATATTGTTATGGTTTCAGAACAATATATAGCACATTTTCCGGCTGGTTCAAGTCATATTGCTTGGTGGATTATGGAGAACCGACGGGAATATTTTGATCGGTCAAAACTTATTCTCAACCAAGTGAAAATGCTTGTATTTCTTTCTGAATCACAGTCTAAACAGTGGCAAGCCTGGTGTGCAGAAGAAAACATCAATTTGAATTCTCAGCTTGCTCTGGTTCCACTTTCCGTCAATGATGAACTGGCTTTTGTAGCAGGGATTGCTTGTTCACTAAATACTCCATCGTTTGGCACTGAGAAGATGCTTGAGAAAAGAAGAATATTGAGAAATGCAGTTAGAGAAGAGATGGGGTTGAAAGATAGCGATATGCTCGTGATGACTCTGAGTAGCATAAATGCTGGAAAAGGCCAGCTCTTGCTTCTTGAATCAGCACACATGCTGCTTGAACAAGAATCTTCTAAGTATGATTCTGGTTTTTTTTATAATTTAACTTAAAAAAAAATAAAAATAAAACATGCTTCATATATACAATGAAAATATTTGTACTTGCATGACAACCACCACCTGTGTTGATGACCCTTGACGTTGTGATGTTTGACAGCAATGACAAAATAATAAAATTGGTATCTGAGACTGAGAGTGAAGGAATGCAAGAACAGACTCTTAAAGTTCTTATTGGTTCAGTTGGATCTAAAAGCAATAAGGTGCTTTATGTCAAAGCAATGCTCAGCTTTCTGTCTCAGCATTCAAATCTATCAAAATCAGTGCTCTGGACTCCAACAACTACACGTGTTGCCTCACTTTACTCTGCGGCAGATGTTTATGTCATAAATTCCCAGGTAATGAGTCTTTATGGTTTTAAAATGTCAACATGACATTTGAACTTGTTATCAGTTTTGCACTGAAAGCTTCTTTGTGCTTGCACATATTTTCCATTAATTTATTTAGTAAAAAAACTAAGGAACGTAAATTTTTTGATGTCATGCAAATAATTGCTAACATGTCTTAAATCTTCATTTTGATGTTCAAATCTTCATACATATAATAGATCAGCTCAAATCTTCATTTTGATGTTCAAGTGAATCAAATAGCTGTAGTTAGTCTTATTTGATTACTTCATGCAATATGATTTGTTTTTTCATGTTATCCTTTTCTTTCACCACTTCAAGCTTCTTTAAGAGACTGTGTGAGTAGAAACATTCAAGGCTTCTTAAGATTAGGGCTGCAAATGAACCGAGCCATTCATAAACAACTCGAGCTTGGCTCATGTAAAGCTCATTCAAACTCAATTTGTTTAGCTAACAAACAAGCTCGAGCCGCATTCTCAAGCTCATTCATTAAACGAGCCCAGTCCAAATATGCTAAAGCTCGGCTCGCTTAGGCTCGCAAACCAAGGTAAAATTAAGATACCCTCATATTTTAAATCATGAAAGTGTGTATTGAGTAGATGTTGGTGTTCATGTCCTACATTCAATTGAATATATATGAATATATATTTTTATTTTTTAAAAGATGGGAATTTTTTTCCTTCAAGCAAGGCATGGTAATTTGCATACCTTGTAGCTTTAATTTTTGCTGGTGAATGAATCTTTTCCCTTGTTGGTACCTGGAAGCAACTCAATGTGCTTAATTATTTGCACACTTTATAGCTTTAATTTTTTTGTGGTGTTGTGCTATGTGTGAAGAATGTTGGTCTCATTTGACTGTCAAAAGAAAGTCACTAGCCCTTATATTCTGCAAAACCTTACTGCTTTCAGTGAAATTGCCAAGCTTTGTAAGTTGCTGTGTTTTGCTTATTGGCATGTGAACCATATCATTTTTCTACATTCTTTATATCTATCTATTCCCTTTCCTACGTTCCTCTTTTAGCACCCTCCTACCACACTCAACCATCTCATTCTTTACTTGTCAAAATAAAAAAACTCAGCCATCTTGTTCTTCATAACATTGTTTTCTTCTTCTAAAGTTCACTTTTGGACCAGATTAACCAACTTTCTTCTCTTATCAATCAGAACTCACGAAATTATGGTATTGTGGCACTTCCAAGCCAATTCAAACAATCAATTTCAAAATAATGTATCCTTTTTTTTTCCTCTCTTAGTCACATTGACATATAAATTAATCTGTTCTTTCAAATTAACTTGACATATAAGTGAAAATAGAATTGATCTTAACTCAAGTAGTGATTCGTATTTTAGTTCTAATGGCATATTCCTCAAGTTTGATTGGATCATTAGAACAAAAGCAAAATCCATTTTACTCCTTGTGATGTGGCCTCAGAGCACTTCACCTCCTTGACATTTAAAAATAGCCAAAAGAATTTTGCACTCCTTGTGATGCTGTCCAATTGATGAAATTTGTGCCACACGTTCTTAATTTGAGATTAGGCATAAAAAATAAAAGAAAAAAGAAGTCAAAGTCAAAATGCAATGTAAAAGGAAAAATATGCACTTTTATTCATCTTCTTCCCCAAAACTCTAACCCTAGCCATCTTCTTCCCCAAAGACCTAACCCTAAAAATCCGAAAGGACAAACTTAGCAAAAGCCCAAATCTACAACTAACATACTCCATCTTGATATGCCAATTCAAGGACACCAATATCAATAATTATAATAAAAATCATACATAGATATACATACACATGACACACTTAACCCCATATTGATATGTGGATTGACAAAAAAACCCAAGTCAAAGAATAACTACAATCCAAATCAGATATACAATAATAAAAACATAAAATGTAAACATCTATCTACTACTTTAAACACAGAAGAGGTTCCCATGTTTTCTGTACTTTAGGTTTCCAAAACTACTCATCAGCAATTTGTTAAATCCCAAATCAAACCTACTCAATCATCCTTATAGGGAAAATTATTAGGTAGTTCTGGAGTAACCATGTAGCATTGTCTATGTGGTGGTGCCGCAAATGAGGACCTGCAAATCACACTAGGTGGGTCGTCCCTTGTTTTCTAACTACCTAAAAAGGAAACAAAACAACAACTTCAAGTAACCTAGAAACGAATTCTCTACTATGAAATGCTTTATAAAGATTAATTTCAAGAGTTGCTTATTAGGCGGCCACTAATCACTTGGTAGATTTCTTGCCACTAAATTCGGTGTCTGCTTCTCCATGTGCTGTGCAGGTGTCTTTATGCCTCTGTTGGGGCTTTCTAGTCTTCAGGCTTAATTTCTATGTTTAAACAATATGTAAACCTAAAATATAGCATTTTATTTCATAAAAACTAAAATATAGCATTTAATGATGTTGCATACTTCATGCCATTAAAACCCTCTAAAAAAGTTTTTTAAAAAAATTATGAGAAACTCTTTATGTGCATTGCACATCTCCTACCACTAGTATTTATAAAGACATGCCCAAGTTGATGTGATGGGGGATGGGATGAATTCAAATCTTGTTAGCCTTGCCTATCTGGTACATGCTCTAGGAGAAAGTGCCAAAAACATTGAGAAATTGATGATGGCACTGGGAACCTTGTTTGGGATCCGCCTGGCAAACCCCTTCTCCCCACCATATATATATATGTGTGTGTGTGTGCGTGCGCGCATGCAGAAAATAGGTTAAAAATGTTAGAAATTAGGTTTTAAAAAGTATGGATATATATTTATTACTGAGGGGATAGAGGTGTTAAGGCCATTTTACATCTTCTGGTAACAGTATTAGTATTGCACTCTAATCCAAAACCACATGAGGCCCTAAGAAAAACCCATGATTATCAAATATGAATCCATTTGATTGTGCTTTTGGATGTCCAACAGAATTCAAAGGCAGAAATCTATTTACTAGATTAGAGTTATTCAAGAGAATTAATTCATAAGAATTCATAGCAATGTGCTGAAGCACAGTTATTTCATGAACCTCAAAAATAAAGATATAATACATAGCAAATAGATCTATGTTGAATTCTGTAAAACAGAATATGAACTCACTGTAAATATTCTATAGAACACAGTTGACAAGTTCATTTATTGAAGCATCCTAATGCATCCAGGTTAAACCTACTATTATTAATGGGATTAGTCTTTTTGTTTATAACTATTCTCTTAAGATTTAAAAATATTGAAATATGTATCAATGTATTTACTTTTCCCTGAAAAGTTCACGCTGTGCTGAAATTTAATTTTATTTGCTGTTGATCTTTACTTCTCCATCCAAATATTACATTAATATTTTGTTGTGCAGGGGCTTGGAGAAACATTTGGGAGAGTGACAATTGAAGCAATGGCATTTGGTCTACCGGTATGGCAACCAACTCAGTTTTTCCTATATATCCTCATGTTTAATAGTCATTGTATCTTTTTGGTTTAGTCCTCACATGACTAACAAAGGTATGTATATGCATGCACAGAGTAAAAATCTCTGCTTATCTTCTGTTCACTTTGATGCATTCGTGTGACAGAAAGAATAGCATCCATTAAATTATGGAGTTCAATTGTAACCCCTGATATCTTTCATTTGCCTAAATTCCTGTCAACTAACAAAGAGCAAAGCACTATTCCTTGCTTTCATCATCAAAATTATGCTCTATTGCATCAACTTTTTTCCTTACTATTTCCTTGCTTCCTTTATATGTGCCCTGCAAAAATGAATATTTTGCTTATCCTAGGAGTTCTTGTCCAATATTGTTGAAGGGGTAGTCAATATTGAAGGTCAAGAAATACCAAATAGTGAAAAATCTTGATACTTCGGCTCAATCATACATACAGTTGATGATGTTACTCATAAATTTAAGGCAAGCTGGGCTAAGTGGAGGAATACTTCAGGTGTTTTGTGTGATCAATGCATACCCACAAGATTAAAAGTAAAACTGTGCAAGACATTATACAATCAACCATGCTTTAGGGTATAGAATGCTGTGCAATCAAAAAACAACATATTAGCTCGCTGAATGTAGTTAAGATGAGAATGTTGTGTACTAGAATTAGGAGAGTTAGGGGTTAATGCATTCGTAAAATGGTAGAGGAAGCACCTATTGAAGATCAAAGAGGGAAAATCGATTAAGATGGTTTGAGCATGCACAACGAAGACCCATAAATGCCCTAGTAAAAAAGAGTAGCACTATCCACTCTTAAGGATAATGCTAGGAGGCCAAAATTAACTTGGGTTGAGACAATTGAGAAAGACATGTTATTTTGAGGTTTAACTGGGATTATGGGCCTTGTTAGAACAGAATGGCAATACAAAATTCATGTAACTGATCCCAAGTAGTTGGAAAAAAAGGCTTAGTCGGGTTGATCGTTGACAGACTATCTATTTGCACATACCATATGGTAAATGATCCTCTAGGAAGTCAGTATATTGAACTTTCAATAGTAAATATGTTAAAATCCACCTATTCTCCACCTACTTCACCCACTTAAATCTACTTCACTAAACCTAACCCACTACACCACTACCACCTCACCTACTCCACTAAACCTAACCCACTACACCACTACCACCTCCACTTCACCTACTCCTTACCTACTACACACTCACCCTCTTCTATATATAGGAATCATGAATCATTGTAATAGAAATCAATATATATCAATCAATAATACAATTCTTTCTATTTCTCTATACATAATTAATTCTCTCGACGTCGTTTTGAGTACAGAACAACATAAAAATGGCCAAAACGACGTCGTTTTGGCCATTTGAGCCACTTTTGAGCCACAAAATTTGAGCTACGAGACATTTTCCCATTAAATTTCTACAAAATATTATTTGCTTTTTCCTGGCTGGTAGTTGCTGTTTGAGCACATGAACTGAACAAATCAAAAAAAGTTCTCTTATTAGCAGCAGGAGTTTTCAATACGTAAATGTGAAAAAAAAAAAAAAATGTTCTAGATATACAAATTATTACCCTTTGTAATTAGATGGAAATAAATAAATAAATAAATAAAATTAAGCTTACATAGGAAGGGTGGCGGCATGATACATGTATGTAACTTGTGCACATATGTAGAATGGCCTGTAGTTAATGGGCCAGTATATGGACTTAATTCAAGATGTGTTGACAATGGTTGTTCAGCATCCAAAATTTGTTGTAATTTGTGTTACATACACGGATTCTTCCCTGGTGTACCTTGCCCACCAGATCTAACAGGGGTAAGGGTGTGCGGCATCTTTCTCAATTTAGATATTTGGATCCTCTAATTTTATATGATATTTGAAGAAGGCGTTTATATTTTCTTAGATTGAAAATCATGTTGGGCATTGCTAATTGAATGCTAATGGAATACTAAAACCTTATGAAAAATATAAAATAATTCTAATTTTTAATTCATCTTTATTCATCGCCTTTTCATCTCCCGTCACATAATAAAAAAAACTCTACTTTTTTCTTAATTTCATATCTTTATCTCTATGTTTCTTTGTTTTTTTCACCGTTCCTGTCCCATTACTTTGATTTCTGTAAAGTGCTCCTCATGAGTTGTACATGTTTGATGTGGCTTCTAACCAGAAAATTGTCACCCAACAATCAATAATTAGGATGACACATTTCTGTATCATCTGATTCTGCCACTTTATTTTGGATTATATAAACTTGTCAAGTGCGTTGACAATCTATAGGAGTACATGTTCTTAGTGGGATGACAAGTGCACCAAATATTTATTTTGGTTGATTATTAAACAATGCCAATTGTTCTAGATGTTGCGTAGAACACAAAAAAAAATGAACAGAATTTGATGGAACTGTTTTAACTGTTTTTTTCCAAATTCGGCACAGGTTCTTGGAACAGATGCTGGTGGCACAAAAGACATAGTTGAGCATAACGTAACTGGTCTCCTTTATCCTCTGGGGCGTCCGGGAGTTCAAGTTCTTTCTGAGAAGATTCAGTTTTTGCTTAAAAACCCTTCAATGAGGCAGGAAATGGGGATGAGAGGAAGGAAAAAGGTAGAGAAGATGTACTTGAAGCGGCACATGTACAAGAAATTTGCAGAGGTTCTATTCAGATGCATGAGAATCAAGTAAGGCCTACTACGAGACATTTTCCATTCTTTTATTGGTTAGGAATTTGTGAGGTTATTGCGAGTATTTGGTTACCGAGTTATATCTTGCCTCATGAAGTGAAATGTTTTAGTTGAATCTGTACAATATTTTGGTGCGAATTTGAAGCTCAGAAAATTAATTCATCAACATTTTTTTTCCCTGGCTGCAAAGTTGTACGAATACAATGCTGTAAAAATATGAATAGCCTCTTTGATCATGGAATAGCAACCCAAAAAAAAAAAAACCTTGTTTTGGTGCCATGGTTGTTTATATGAATAGTTAAATAGATAAAATAAATAAATAAATATAAAAAAATGTATTTCATTTCCTACTGCTGTTTGTATGACCTTGATACAGTCTGATACTTATGTTTTTGCAAGTTAAAAATCTGAAATTGAAACCATTCTTCTTCACACATTCTCAACAACCAAATGCTAGAGAAGCAAAACTTTTGAATTTTGTCATTCAAGAATCAAGAGAGACCATCCAAACATGACTGTTATAGTGAAATTTTTACAATAAATTCCTCAACTTGATAATTTACACTCATAACTAATAATTTAAATGCAACTTTTGGAGATTCAATACATACCTACAAAATTATTTCCCTCAATTTCCATGATTCTACAGTAGAGATATTGTGAAAAATTTCAATCACTGAAGATGAAGGCCCAAGAGCAACATAAAGTAATGTCGAGGGAGAGAGAGAGAGAGAGAGAGAGAGAGAGAGAGATGAGCAAACATCCAGGTGTTGCAAATGCTTTGAGGGAATTGTAATTATTTGATTTTTGTCTATTTAAACCATAATATTTTTATTTATTTTTAATTGAAATTATTTATTTATTTTTGCAAAGTAAAACTGATGAAAAAAAGATTATTTTCATCATTAAACTCAATGTAGGTATATATAAAATGTCTAAAATATTATTTTTCTTTGAGTTTAATGATTAAAATATATTTTTTAAATAAATTTTACTTAACAAAAATAGTTAGATGATTTAGATTGAAAAAATTAGGGTAAATTACAAATACACCTCCTGAGGTTTGCTTAAAATACAAATTGTCCTCTGTGATTTGGAAAATTACAAATATCTACCTATCAGAATTTTTCATTTAACAGAATTAATGGAAAAATTAAAATTTCTAACTGTTCACCTATACAGTAATAAAATTATCTGAATTATTAATTTAAATAAAATTTTAACATTATTAAAAACTATTAATTAACTTGATGATTTATTAATAAAATGACTTATTTGTTATGAAATTAGAGACTTTAGGGGCATAATGTAATTTTTAGAATCACAGAAATTATTTATAATTTAAATAAAATGTGTAGAACTCTAGAAGTATGTTTGTAATTTCCCCTTTTTATTTTTATTTTTATTTTTAATTTGCCCTTAAATTATCCTAATGTGGGGCCATTAGTTAAAGACCAGGGGACGGCATATTGACCATGATAGGTTTAATTTTTATGAAAATGGAAAATCTTAATTTTTAATATTGCACTTATTGGGGTTTTTTTTTTTTTTTTTTTTAAAAATTAAAAAAAAAACCCCTAACCCAGACCTTAGCGGCAGATCACCAAAACACCTTTTTGGGGTTTTTTTTTTTTTTTTTTTTTTGAAAAATTAAAACAGAAACCACTATACCAGACCCATTTTTTGGCGTTTAAAATAAAAATGTTGTAAAAAAAAAAAAAACAGAAAATGTTAACAACCAAAAAGATTTAATTTGGTTATTATACTTGTTAAGAGCAAAAACAAAGAAAGGAAAATGAAATTACTAGTATCCAGTCATTTCTTTTTTAAACAGAAGTTTAGATGCTAACATTTTCCCAAACAAACCAAAGAGAAGCCAAAGATTAATAAAGATTATTTTATTTTTATTTTTTTTCTCACAGCTTTTTCCCAAACAATATTATTTCTTTTATTAATTATTGCTTATGATTCAAACAATCCAATTTTGATTGCATTTTGGATTTATAAAAGAGACACTTATCAATCAGTCTCATTAACTGAACTTATTTACTTACAAGTTCTGTTTGATAAGTTTATTATTGTATATTTATTCATAAAAATAAAAAAGACTAATAAATTTATCAATAAAATTTAATGAATAATAAGTCCCAAAAATAGGACTTATTAATAATTTACCTTATTTGTAATTGCGACTGGGATTGGGCTTGGAGGAGAAAAAGAGAGTTCAAAACTCGATCTATATTTTTAATGGAGTGGATTAAATATTGGCGAACTGTTAAAAAAATAATGTTAGAGACATCAAATATTTTACTGGGATTGTTTAGGATGTCCTAAATAAGTATATTTTTTGACTTTTTGGATTAAAAAATTGAGAAAAAAATATAGTTATTTGGGATAACTTTTTGACTTTTTACGAAAAAATGTGTATTAAAAAATTGTATAATTTTGTATATAGGAGAAGGGAGAAAAGAATAGGCAGTACGCTGGGGAAGAGCAGTGGGTAGACTAGCATATAGGGTATGCTTGCCTTCTTTTCGAGTATTGAATTGGGCGGTAATGTTCGGCCCGTGGAGGCCTACCACGGGTCTCGTTTTGGTAATTGGAACCGTCAATGTGTAGAACTTGTCGAGTACTATATGCTCATAAAAAATCACTTTAATCGAATATCAATAGCTATCTGATCGGATAAGTTTTTTTTGTCAACCATTAACTATAATACCATCATTTTTTTTATACAAAACTGATTTGATTATGTAGTTAACGATATCCAATAAATGTGATTTTTTTCAAGCATATAGTACTCAACGGGTTCTACACATTGAACAGTTCAGATTATCAAAATGAGACCCATGATGCCCCCCCGGCCGAACAACACCGTCCTTAAGGTTGCCTCTACCTGTCTAATTTGTTCTCACCAAAGTCAAGTAAAGGCAACTCACGTCAAAGTGAGTTGTACCTTTTTTGTGTAAAAAAAATTTTTTTATAATTTTTTTTGGTGAATAGTGATAGCTTTTTAACTTTTTTAGTAACTTTTTGACTTTTTGTCTTTTTTTGAAGATGCCAAACCAGGCCTAAATATTCTACCAAATGTTTGATATGGATGTGGAGCTCACATGGGACCCACACTATGTGAGTCCCACATCCATATAAGATATTTGATAAAATATTTAGGATCTCTAATATTTTTTTTGTTAAAAAATGCACTCATGGCTAAGCGTTATATAAAATCTTTTTATAAATTTCAAAACGGGAGACAAGAATTCGTATTTATGATAAACTTTAGACATGTTTAGGAAGTTGAAATTTTAGTCAAAAAAAAGGTAAATTACACTTACCTCCTTGAGATTTTTGATAAATATAGGGACCTCTCTTATGATTTCAATAATTACAATAACCTTCCCTAATTTACTTGACAATATCTAGATTTTATCATTTTTTGACTGCCATTTACACACTTTACAGAACCTGGTGATGTCATCAAAGCTAAACACTAAAATGTCCATAATGCTCTCAGGTATCCTAAACCCATCTATATATACCAGTACCAAATGTTGGATTCTCCAGTTTCAAAAAATATAGGGATCTCTCCTGTGATTTCAATAATTACAACAACCTCCTTTACTTTACCTGACAATATCTAGATTTCTCCATTTTTTGACTATCATTTACACACTTCACAAAACCTATTGATTTCATCAAAGCTAAACACTAAAATGTCCATAATGCCCTGAAGTATCCTAAACCCATCTATATATACCAATACCAAATGTTGGATTCTCCAGTTTCAAAAAATCAAAGTCAATAAGGAAAAATTACAGAGGTAGTAACAATTGAAGAACACAGAGCGTCCTCAACCAAAGCTCAACAGATGTATGTCCATGATCAAAGCACAACACATGTATGTTCTCACTTACATTAACTATTTTTGAAAAAAAATTCTGCATATCAATAACAACCAAACAGTCCAAAAAATATAAAAAATAAAAAATAAAATATTGAAAGCACAAAGTAGCAATTAAGGATTTTGTGGTCTGAATCGAATTTCTGGTGATTGTTGGGATATATCTCCTTATTGGAGTTTGAGACCCAATTTGTTTGTTAAAAGAATTTTAATTTGGTTTGGTTTAGATGTAATATATTTTATATATTATATCTAATTTGTGGAGATACAATTCAATTTGGTAACAACTAGGGTTTGATAAAAACAAACTCAAGATTTAACAATATATATATATATTGTTTTGTGTGTGTTTTGGTGTGTGTGGCGGCAGTGGCTTAATACAATAGATTTGATTCAATTTGGTGGCTTTGGCTGTGTAGAGGAGCAACAATGTCAGATCAAATTCGATGGTTTCTTTATATGTGATTTAATGCTGCTACGGTCTCTGTTTTGAAGCTAATTTGGATTATTATTTTGGGTCTTCTTTAACTCTGGTTTTGAATATTTTTGTTCATCTATTTGGTGAGGTCTTTTCTCTTGTTTATTTGCGATTATTTGGAATTCACCTAAGGGTGGTTTTGTGAGACCATTCGTGTCTCGTTGTAATCATTTGGAAACTTATTTGGTTGATAGTGGAATCGGATTTCGATCCCGTGGACGTACCTCACATTGAGGGAACCATGTAAAATTCTTGTGTTGCTTTTGATTTAATTTTTCTGCATTAGTTTTGATTCCCATTGATTGATTTACTTGTGGGAATCACATATTTTCCCTAACAACTAGTATCAGAGCTTACGATTTATTTGGGTCTATTTATTTGTGTAAATCAATGGAGGAGAATGTGGTCGTATGTCTAGCTTCAATGGAAGCAATTGGGTAACTTGAAAAACTAAAATGGAGGACCTATTATTTTGTAAAGATTTGTATGGGCCTATTGAGGGTGATAGTGGCAAACCTGATGATATGAAATATGATGAATGGAAGAGGCTTAATCGAAAAGTCGTTGGTGTTATCCGTCAATGGATTGATGACAGTGTGTTTTATCATGTTGCTACTGAAACTTCAGCACATGATTTATGGAAAAAATTAGAAAACCTTTATGATAGGAAATCAGCCACAAATAAAGCTTTTCTGTTTCGTAAGTTGGTTAATTTAAAATATAAATAGAGCAGCCCTATTCCAGAACATCTGAATGAAATAAAGAGTGTTGTTAACCAACTTGCTTCTATGAAAATTGTTCTTGATGATGAGTTACAGGCTTTGATGCTACTTAGTTCTTTGCCCGAAAGTTGTGAG